CCTCGGGCCTCAGTTTCTTGGGATGGGCGGCCGTGTCCATTGTGGGAGGGGGAAAATGGAGGGACCCAGGGGCTGAGCAGACAGGAGCTGAGCTGAGACTCTTGGGGAGCTGCAGGAGCAAAGGCAGACTCCCAGGGGGACCGGAGGCTGGGGGCTCAGCCCCGAGGAGGAATGGTTCGGGGGGGGGGTCAGAGAGGTGCAGCCTGCCAGCTGAGGCCACACAGCCTGGCCTGGGAGTGGGGGTGGGAGCCAGAAGCTGGGGGGGGTGGCCCTCGGCCCCCACCAGAGCCCTGGCTGTCAGTCTAGCCGGGGGCCTGGGCACCCCACGCCCCCCCCCCCCCCGGCTCTGCATCGCGGCCTTGGTTTCTCCCTTGTGAGCCTCCAGCCGCTTCTCCATCTCCGTGACAGCCGCCCTGGCCCGCGTCAGCCTGCATTAATCCCCACGGCTCCCACGGCCTGGATGGTCCCCCCCCCCACCCGTCCACCCTCCAGCCCTGCACGGGGGAGGGGGGCTGGTTAGGAAGGGGGGCGCCCCAGTCGCTGGCTTTGTACCAGGGACTCTGATGCAGCCACAGGCAGCCTCGGGTGCCGGGCCTGGAGCCCCGGCTTCCTCCCTCCGGGGGATGGGTGTCTCATCCTGGTGTCAGGGTGACCCAGGGAGACTGGCGTGGCCTCTGTGGTCGCTGCCCCCCCACCCCTCTCCCCCTCCCCCGTCCCTCCCCCTCCCTGCCAGGCACAGGGACCTGGCGGCTGACTCTCCTTTTCCTGTTTCTCTCGGTTGTCATGGTGATAGGAAAGGCGGAGCTGGCGCAGGTCACAGGTCAAGGATGGGGGGGCCACGGATGGGGGGGCTGGGCGATGGTGGCCAGTCCTCTGACGGGCAGGAGACGCTCAGTGGCCCCGGGATGGAGTGTCACGCGGGCTGCTGGCCGCGTGGGGGGTCAGGGTGGCCTCGTGGTGTCCCTCACTCTGGGAACGCTCCTGTCCCAGACGCCTGCCCACAGCCTGATCACTGCCAGCGGCCGGAAGGGCTATACGGCCACCACCACTGGTCACTTAGAAGAGGTCCACACAGAGCCCAGAGAGGGACAGGGACTTACCCAGGGTCACACAGCAAGCTGGGAGGAGACTCGTTCCTGCAAACATGGAGCAACTCCTCGCCAGAACCCCCACTCTGTGTGCCTGAGGGCAGAGAGGCGTCCACGGGCAGGGGTGTCTGTCCTCCGGCCTCCAAGCTGGGCTCCGGTGACATTTGGGGGGGATGATGGGGAGGGCCATCCCCTTCTTCAGATGGAGAAACTGAGGCTCACCACACACCTAGCTGAGACCTTGGAGCTGCCGGGGGACAGGGCCCTGGTGGGATTTGAACCCAGAGCTCTGAATTCCGGCCTTGGGCTGTCCCATACTGCTGAGTGTGTGTGTGGTGTGTGTTGGGGGTGACAGGGCAGGGGCCGCCTTGCCGGTTCTCTGGGCCTCTTTCTGTCCCCTGCCTCTGAAGCCAGGGTAGAGGAGTTCCCAGGACCGAGGGTTGACTGTGAGGCCCGGGCCGGGCCGGGGCGGGGGGTGGGGGGGGGTCTCCTTGGAACCATGAGGTCTTGCGGAGGGGTTCCTTCTGGGTTGGGGGAGCTGACCACAGGTCCCCTGCAGCCCTGCAGCGGGCTTTGGGGCACAGGCCTGAGCACTCTATGAACCAAGTTTTGTGCTAGACACAGGGGCTCACGCCTGTAATCCCAGCTACTCAGGAGGCTCAGATCTTAGGACTGAAGTTTACAGCCAACTGCGGCAGCCAAGCCCACAAGAGCCCAGTGACCCACCAAAAGAGAAAAGCTGCCAGCCGGGCACCGGTGGCTCAGGCCTGTCATCCCAGCTACTCAGGAGCCTGAGGTCTGAGGATCGCAGTTCAAAGCCAGCCTGGGCAGGAAAGTCCATGAGACTCTTATCTGCCATGAACCACCAGAAAACCGGAAGTGGTGCTGTGGCTCAAGTGGTAGAGCACTCGCCTTGAGCTGAAGAGCTGAGGGACAGCGCCCAGGCCCAGAGTTCAGGCCCCATGACTTGCCCCGTGGGCAAGGCTGTCACAGTCTCCTGAGCCCCCGGTGTGTCCCGGTGCCAGCTCCATCATCTCCCAGAGGAGAAAGCCCCGGAGACTTGGGGCAGCCATGACTGGTGCCCAAGGCCTCCCTGCCAGGCAGGGCTGGAGATGCAGGGCTGGGCCGCAGACGCCCCCGGCCCCAGGCCCTGCTCCAGGCCCAGGGGCACCCGGGAGAGGACAGAGCCCCGCGGCTGCCCGACCGGCCTCTGCTCTGCTGATGGACGGCTGCCTCCGGGCCGGCATCTCCTTCCCCACTGCCCCGGGGTCCAAATAAAGGAACCCCCAAAATACACCCGCCTCCGTGCGGAGCCTGCAAGGTGAACCTCGGGGCCCACACGTCTTACATAAGCTGGGAGTTAAAAATAACCCGGGAAACCCTCCTCGACCCACGCCTGCCTCCGGCAGGCAGGAAGCAGGGAGCCCCGGGACCCACCCACGGACGGACGGACGGACACGAAGGACGGACGCAGAGCTGGCGCTCCAGCCCCCGCTCCAGCTCCCTGAGCGTGGCTGCTGCGAGTAGCCGGTTAGGAGCCTCCAGCTTTCCCCAGGGACGGGGGAGGGAGGACCCCTTTTCTTATGGATTCTCAGAGAAGCCAGGTGAGGTTCCCAGCTGGTCCAGGCCCTGCCCTGAGTTGGCACAGTTGCTCTGCTCCAGGCCAGCAAGCAGGACTGTCTGCCTCGATCCCTTTAGGACTTTAAGAAGAAAAGAAAAACAGCCAAGCATCGTGGCTCATGCCTATAATCCCAGCTACTGCGGAGGCAGGGCTCAGGAGGATCAGAGGTGGAGGTCAGCCCCAAGGAGGAATGGGGGGCTCCCTTCCCCATCCCAACGGACAGGATGCAGCATGACTGGGAGACACAGGGCATGAGGATGTTCCTTGCCGAACTGGGGTTTGAACTTGTGGCCCCAGGCTTCTGCCGCTGAGCCGTTTCCCAGCCCTCTCTGCTGCTCCTTATTTCTTAGATAGGATCGCGCAGGGATGCCTGGGCCTAGGCTGGGCTTATGGGTGCCTGCCTGCCGTCCCAGCTACCCGGGAAGCATGAACAGGAGGCTCTCAGTGCCAGGTGGGGTCAGCTGCAGATTTGCATCCCAGCCAGGGCCGGTGCTGAGTAACCCCCCCTCCCCACGTCCTCCAGCCCCTGGGCTCAGCGAGGGGCCCTGTCACTCCTTGGGGGTGGGGGTGGGGTCCCCCAGAGGCTGCGGGGCCTCTCTGGCCGGGACAGGCTGGGACTTGAGCGGCTTCCGAAGGCTGATGATCTACGGGCGGTGATGTGGCGCACAGGGTGGAAGGAATCTGGGGAAGGGATGCGTTCTGTCTTGCTCTGCTTGTCAAAAGCTACAGACTTCATTCATCTGTCTCGGGGGGTGGGGAGGGGACACCAAACCAGGGCTGTGGGGAGTGAGGCCCGTGGCTGGGCTGTGTGATCTGGGGGTGAACCCCTGGCTGTCTGGGAGCCTGGGGCGGGGAAGGGGCTGCCGGCCAGTGCTGGGCCCCTGGACTCCCCCGCGGGACTGCTGGGCTGGAGGCTTGGCAGGCCCTGGTGGATCCACGCGGAGTTTGGTCACGAAGGGTTGGTCTGTAAACATCACCTGGCAAATCTGGGGTGGGGGGCCTGGTGAACCTCAATGTCTTCCTCCTCCTCCGGGGCTGGGGGTGTAGCTCCCCCCCCCCCGCCATCTGTGCCCCTCCATTTTTTCTGCAGGCTGGGGCCTGGCTTCCTGGAGGGAGGCCTCCCGTAATCCCCCGGGGTGGGTGAGACAGGCCTGAACCCCAGCTTCCCCGAGGGTGCCGGGGGGGGGGGGCGGCGGGGCGGGTGCTGGAGTTCAGTATCTGGGTGTGCACCCCTGTGAATGCCGGCTACACCCCCACCTGCCAACTTAGGAACTCCCGCCAGCTCCGCTTCCGACCCAGCTCCCGCCTCTCCCTTCTTTTCCTCCCGTTTCCTGGGAACTTGGGTTCTAGTTCATACTCAGGTGTGAGTGGTTTCCCCGTCCCTCTGTCATCAGGCAGGGTGGTGGTGGTGGTGTTGATCTGGGGGGCTGAGCCGGGTGGGGCCCAGTGGACCTTCTAGGAGGAAGGCAAAACCTCCTTCTGCCCTTTGGGGGACAGCAGTTTTGGGGTTGGCACGGTGACCTCCCTGTGGAGGCCCCGGGAGCCTGGAACTCTCATTCACTTCCCGGGGCCGGGGGGGGGGGGGGGCGGGCAAGGACTCCACCTGGCTGCCCCTGTCGGCTTAGAAGTTCAGGCTCTGATGCGTCCCGGTTGGCTCTGTGTCTGCGGGCAAGTGTCTGTGCCTCTCTGTAACACAATGGGGAGACACGGGTCTTCAGAAGGCCCCTGCCTCACTGCCCCCCCTCCCAGCCTCCACTCCTGCACTAAGGTGGGAAGAGGGGTGGGCGGGAGGAGGGGGAGGAGGTGTGGCTGGGGAACTGTGGGTTTCCCCAGCTAGCTGCTCATTGACTCCTGTGTGACCCGAGTCAGCCTGTCTCCCTCTCTGGGCCTGTTTTCTTGGCTATGATGTAGTGGCACAGCTGTCTTTACTTCCTGGGGCTGATACATAGTAGGACCCCATGAGCACATAGTAGGCTCTCAGCAAGTCTGTCTAGAGCATCCTAAGAACCAATCTGGGCAGTCCTCCCCTCCACCTTTCTGTGTATCTGGTGAACTCCTATGCATCCGTGAATGCCCCAGTGTAGACACCTTTGCAAACTTGACCTCATGTCTGGTTATGTTTCATAGGTAGTGAATCCTTCCCAGCTAGGCTAAGCCCTGCTTTCCCAAAGGGGGAGGGAGGGCGGAACTGAAGCCCAAAGATGGGGGGTGGGTGAGGGGGAGCCTGGGTAGAGGGGTTTCGGCAGCCATGATGCCCAACCCGCCACTAATATACCCTTCTCTCTCCACAGCCCACGACCTCACAGCCAGCAAGGCCTCAGCCCCACAGCCCGGCAGCCACTTGCAGTGCCTGTCTGTCCACTGCACGGACGACGTGGGAGAGGCCAAGGCCCGCGCCCCCGTGCCCACCTGGCGGTCCCTGCACTCGGACATCTCCAGCCGCTTCGGGACATTCGTGGCAGCTCTGACTTGAAGGGACAAGAACCACCGCCCCTCCCCCATCAGGCCCTCCTGTCCCCCTTCTTAGTCCCCCCCCCCCCCCCCCCCCCGCCCGGCCCCAACTCCCCATGACTCATTGGAAAGGGCCTCTGTGGCGGCGTGGATGATAGTTTCTTTTTTTCTTTTTTAAAAAATTGGGTCTAGGTCGGAACCTGCATAGTGGCATTTGGACGGGAAAGGGTTAATTTCAAGGGGCAGGGAGGAAGATGACAACACCACCATGGTCACCACCACCACCACCACCAGACAACCCAGTCCCACCGCGTCTGCAAGTGCCGCCGTGTTAGCAAACGTGCCGAACCCATTTTCCCGCTAGAGAATTCTCTCCCGTCTCCTGTGGTTTTGTTTTCCTTCTTTCGTTTGTTTGCTTTTTTTTTTTTTTTTCTAGAATCTTGGCCTGTGTACATTTTTAGACCACCTCTTTCTTGACATGTTTTTAAGTTTCAGGCTCCTCGTATGTCCAAGTATTTCTTAATTCATAATGAGACAAGAGTGGCTTCTTTCTTTCTCTCTCTCTCTCTCTCTTTTACAATTCTCTTTCTCTTTTCTCCCTCTCCTCCCTTCCCCCCCCCCCCCCCCCCGCCTTTTTTTCTTATTAAAAAAAAAAAATGGGAATTCTGGAGAAGAAGAGTTTTCGTGGAATACCAGCGGGTGAGCGCCATGTTACTATCCCAGGATATACATCGATACCCCAAAGCCCTCAGTCCAGGCAGGTGAGGGGTGCGAGGAATACCGCCCTTCCGCCTGCTGCTGGGTTGGTGTTCTGTTTTGTTTTGTCTGTTCATGAAGAAAATAAGACCTGTTACTTCTGCTTCCATCCAGCCTGCCCTGGGCCTCCATTCCCTTTCCTCCTGCCGGTAAACCAGCCTTGGAGAGAAGGGCCGGCCCCACATTAGCCGGGGAGCTTTGCTCTCCTTTTGGGGGACATGAGGGCTGGCCTGAGCTGCAGCCAAAGGGAGGGAGACAGGGGAGGAAGGTGCTTCAGCCCCGGCTCTTCAGGGGCCCCGTGTCCATATGGGGAGGGGAGAGGGGGATTGAGGGGGGTCCCCCCTTCTCCCACCTGGCGCGTCTCCCCAGGACTCTAGCTTAGACCCCTCCCCGAACGCTGGGAAAGAAGGGAAGGAAGGAGCTCCATTCCCGGTCTTTCTCTTCTTGCTCTTTTGATTCGATCTCACCACGATTGAAAAGATGGAACCGGGCAGCAGGGAATGAATTCCGCACAGGGAGGGCGGCGCTCCCTTCAGAGGAGGAGCTAGGGTGCCTTTAGGAGGCACCGATGGCTTTGGGGGGTGCTCAGGGGCAGGCACCTCCAGCTCGCAATGGGTCAGGCAAGGCACGGAAATCGGCGACTCATTTCGCTTCCATGTTTGGGGTACAGCGTGTGTCACTGAGCCAGCCCTTCCCCGGTGCCTAGACTTTTTATTTTATGTTTTAAGAGCAAGTAACCTGCAGGTTTGGGGCTCACTCACTGCCCGTGGGTGGGTCCCACCTCCTCAGGGGCCGAGCCCCCACAGGGGACAGCAGCAGGCCGCCTTGTGTTGGGCCTTGTGATGGAGAGCAGGGGACACATTTACCCCCGGCCCGTCCCCCGGCTGCAGGAACATTACTATCCCAGCAACACTCCGCACCCCACACCCCCCCACCCTCAGATCCTGCAGCCTAATGGCTGTCTCCATCTACACAGAAACAAGGCCCAGCAACGTGTCTCCTTTAGCTTGGGTCTTTGAAATTTCCCAGCTTGGCCATGGACTTGCGGCTTTGGTTAAACTTTGGAAGCCCCTGAAGTTGTTTTATTTTATTTTATTTTTTCCAAGTGTTTCTCTGCTCCCCATGACCCCAGAATCGAACAGCTTTTAAAATAGCCTTAAGCAAAGAGGTTGTAATTTCATTAAATTTGGTTGAATGAAAAACATAAATGCAAATGAGAACCGTGTCTAACTTGCCAGACTTCCAAAACACTGGTGATCATTACTGCATTAAGTCTGGGGAGAGAAAAAAATAAAAACAAACAAACAAAAAAAAAACAAAAAAACAAAAAAAAAAAAACACAAAAAAAGCAACGTTATTGCACATGTAAAAATACGGAAACTTAACTCTGCTGTGTGTTAAGCAATCCTGTCATCTTTTTTGACTCTTTAAAAAAAAGAAATTCATTTCTGAAATGCTTGGTTGGAAGACTGACAATAGCTCAAGATTGAGTGTTATTTTTTTTCTTTTCCTTTTTTAAAAAAATATGTAAAGTGCAGTCTTCTGTATTCATGCATATTGTATATACCTGTATATGTTTTCCTGAGCAGCTAAATAACAATAAATATGACGTAAATGGTGACTGGTATGTTTGTGGGTGAGGTGGGCCTGTCTTCCTTTCTTCCTTCCTTCCTTCCTTCCTTCCTTCCTTCCTTCCTCCCTTCCTCCCTTCCTCCCTTCCTTCCTTCCTGCACTGGGATTTGAACTCTGGGCCTCACGCTTGCTGGGGCCAGAAGAGTCCATAGGACTTTCAATCCTGTCACCCCTGGCCACCTGGGTCTCAAGTCTGAGAGAAGTTGGCTGGTCCCAAGGGAGATTTGTTTGTTTGTTTGTTTGGTCTGAGGCGCTGTCCCTCAGCTCCTCAGCTCAAGGTGAGTGAGCGCTCTACTGCTTGAGCCACAGCGTCACTTCCAGTTTTCTAGTGGTTTATTGGAGATACAAGTCTCACGGAGTTTCCTGCCTGGGCTGGCTTTGAACCACGATCCTCAGATCTCAGCCTCCTGAGTAGCTAGGATGACAGGCGTGAGCCAATGGCACTCAGCTAGCTGTTTTCTAAGTGTAAAATACACACCGGGCTTTTGAAAGTTTAGTATGGGAAACTAAAAAGTATTAAGAACTAATGAAGATTAGAATTTTGCTTAATGATTACAGGCTACAACGATCACTTGGATATATTTTTTAACATATATTTAACATTTTTTTCAACATACAAGGAAAAGAATTCATTTGTATTTGTTTTCATCTTGGGATAAAAACAAACAAACATACTCATTCATCCTCTCTGGCTGTTCCTCGGTTTTCTGTTATTTACATAACGCCAGAGGTCATAACTTCTTATATAAAGAGGTTTATTTAGCTTACCAAGCGAGAGCTAAGGTTCAAAGATCCCAGCTGAAGGCCTGGCCCAGCTGCAGGGGCGTGGCTCTGGTAATGGGGTGTGGCCCGGTGGTGTAGGTGTGGCTCTTGTGGTGGGCGTGGCTCTGGTGTTGGGGGCGTGGCTAGATGTTGAGCACCTGCCTAGCACGGAGAAGCCAGGGAGAAGTTCAACACCCCCCCACCCCACCCCCACCCCGTGCTGCCAAAACCGAACAATACCCAGCAGCCCCATCTGCTTGGCCTCTGGCGTGGACCTTGTGAGGAAGCTGGGCACATGGATCTCATTTTGCATCTGTACCTAAGAGTCCTGAAACCCAGTCCAGTCTAAGAACTGACACAGTCTCGCTCTCTCTTTCTCTCCTTTCTCTTCTAAATTTCGGCTCTCCTGGGGCTTGAAATCAAGGTCCTGGCACCTGCTAGGCTGGTGCTTTACCGCTGGAGCTATGCCTCTGATCCTTTTGGCTTTTGTCACTTTTGAGATGGATTTTTCCCATCCCTCCTTCCACTGCCCCCCTCCCCCAGCACGTCTGGACTGTGATCCTTCTGTTCATGCGTCCCGTACAGCTGGGATGACAGGTGTACACCACCAAGCCCAGCTGTTGATTGAGATGAAGTCCAGGCTGGGCTTGAACCTTAATCCTCCCAAATCTGTCTGTGTCTCCCCGGTAGCAGGGATTACAGGCTTGAGTCACTAACCCCGTCTGGGCAGACTCTTGAGAAAGGCATTTACGTCATCCAGAGGCTGATGTCTCAAGACCCTAAGCTCCTTTCAAAAGCTCAACGCTGTAACATAATGGCATCTGGTAGACCTCAGAGACCACCATTGCTTGCCCAGGGCCCAGGGCTGAGAGCTTTTCTCTGTGTAAGGACCAACATCCCTGTTCTCCGGCCCTGCTCTACACCCTACATACAGCTAGGCCTGCCAGGCTGGGCCGGCCCTGTGCTATTCCTTTCAGCCGGGAGGAGGGGAGGGGGCCAGGGCTGGGGACCTGGGCCAGGTGCACCTGTAGCCCTTGCCTGCTGGGAGCTCCTGGAAGCCTTCCCCACCCCCCCCCCCCCGCCCCCACCAGGCTCCTCCTCCAGGTGTGGCTGGGGCCCCTCCCCCTCCCTCCCCTCCCCCTCTCCTCCCAGCAGGCTGGAGTCTTATCTGTGGAACTCCTGGCCCTAGGAACACATTGCTTGCATCAAAGTCTCCGCAAGGCCTGCTGGGCACCCCAGGCCCCCTCAGGCCCCCCCCTACCCCTTTGTCTCAGTGAGGGACCCCCAGGAGCTCGGAGTTGCTTGCAGGACAAAGGGCTCATTGAGGAGTCAGGCCGGGAGGGGGAGGGCGCCGTGATTGACAGCTGACCAAGCTGCCACAGATGGGGGAGGGTGGGAGGGGAGCACGGGGTGCCAGGACCTTACCTCAGTTTATCCATCTGTGATGCTGCACTGTGAGCTCCCGGACGCAGGCTATGACCTTGATGATCACATGGCGGGGAGGGGGGGTTGACTACTATTGACACCGCTGCAGAGGTGGGTGCTGCAGGCTGGACAGACCTTGGTTCAAATCCTGCCTGACCTGCTGTTCCGGGTGGGAGCTAGGAGAAGCCAGATTGCTTCTGAGGGCTTCAGTGGGACCAGAGAACCCCTCAGACGCCTCCTGGAAGGAGCCAAGGCCAATAGCTACCGGGCGCTGGGAAGGAAGTATCTTCCTCTCTCAGCTTTGAAGCAGGGCTCCCCCAAAGGGCTGGGGGCATAGGGTTAGAGGCCACACCCCCCACACCCCAAGGCTTTGGCTCCAGCTGCTGGATGTGGGGTCTGGAATCCTAGCCTGAGGGGCTGGTGGTGACCCTCCCACCCCAGGGCCTGTGAGCCTGGACCGCGAGCAGGGAGGGACGGCTCACCC